TTTGTTTTTTACCAGATAGGTGTTTTATAAGTTTCCAGAATTTAATTATGTAACTAAATTATGTAATTATTGTAACTAACAGAAACATATTTTTGCCTACACATCACTAAATCATTCACTGAAAAAAATATGATTAAAACTTCCAAAATATGGTGCAAGTTACCGTGTTTCTGGCTCTATTAAAACACCGAAACGTACGATGATTTTTACCGAAGAGCTTTGGTAATGATTTTGGTAAAATTAGAATATACTTCTATAATGTGAGATAAAATTTGGCAATAATATGGGGATAGCTTTTAGAGCATGGTATAAAAATCATAAATTTGGTTAAATTTTCTTTTTAGTTTTGAATTTTTTATTGGTAACAGGAACTATAATTTTGAGAGCCTGAATATCTGTTAAGTCGTTGCAATATGAACGGGAAAATTATCAAATGAGTGGTTTAAATAACGTATATTTTTGGTTATACCGGTAATGTCATTATCTTACAGTAAAGTAATTTTACTAGAATTTTTTTCTCCGCGTGGCCAAGTATGTAGGGTACATAATTTTTATTGCACTATCTTTTAACGTAATTTTGACCTCAGAAATGCCTCGGAATTTTGACCCCAGTTAGATGACGTGGCCAAAAACAGAGCTGGTACCCTTCCCTCCACAAACAACGACAGGACGTCTTGCTGTTGCAGATTTAACGTGCGCTTTGCTATGTATACTCGTTGACTGTTTTGTTGATTTCCAGATTCGAACTTACCACCCGTATCTCCACACCAATGGACTGATAGATGTCTTCATCGTTTAATTTCTTAAACGAAAATTATGGTGTTCCGATTTTAAAAGACTCTCTTGAACAATTTGAAAATGTGACCACCCATAATATTGCATCGGGTCCATTATTGAATTCGTAAAAATCATCCTATGCCATAATGAAAGCGTTTTTTGCTTAACAGCAGTAGGGGAAAAATGGGGGTTCTGCCGCAGCAGGAGGGGTACAACTCAACATTTCAGATTCGGCAGCTGCAGCAGCAGGAGAAATACAACTCAACAATCTATGACAACAGGGGTTTTTCTGAGATTGTGAGATCCCTACTTTAGATAATGTTTTATCAGCAGGTTATATTTTATCTCTTCTTTAGAAAGTGAAGGAATTATTTTTATTTTCGGGACTATTGAAAATATACTTGCTCACGAAAAATTTCTAAGTCCCAAAAATAAAAATAGTTCCTTCACTTTCTAAAGAAGAGATAAAAGTAACCCTCTGATAAAACCTTATCTAAAGTAGGGATCTCACAATCTCAGAAAAACCCCTGTTGTCATAGATTATTGAGTTGTATTTCTGCTTCTGCTGCAGTTGCCGAATCTGAAATGTTGAGTTGTACCCCTCCTGCTGCGGCAGAACCCCCATTTCCCCCTACTAACAGCTTTTACATAAAAAAACCTATTTTTAAAATTTTGACAAAATAATGCAGCAGTACTTGACAAATAAGAAATAACCTGTTCTTAAACTAGTTATGAATGTTTTCAAGTACTACGTAATATTTTTGCGTATTAATTAAAATTTTACAATTTTGTTTAAAAAGATTAATGAAAGATATCATAAAATGTATGACATAAATACCAAACTCTAGTTATTCAAAGAAATATTCAAGGCATTTACCAAATGAATAGGAAATATATTTAATTATTTTGAGCTTCCAAATCAATAACACAGAACAGAAAAACCATATGATAAGAATAGGCGATAACATGATACCTATAAAATATGAAAGGGCCTTTAATTTATCATAAACAGCCATTGTATCGTTCCTGAATTATATATAATAAGTTTTGTCTTACAAATAAGATATCATAAGATATTCAATAAAAGTATCTTTATTCCAACTATTGACTATCTTTTATACAATTAAATAAATAATGGATATTTCCTTAGGGATGTTATTATGAATTAGAGATGTAAGTTTAAGTTATTTAGACATTAATTCTATATTTTTTGCTTACTAGCATTTTTAAACTAACGCTAGAATTCTTAAATATGTAAAAAGTGTAAATTTCAAACAGGTTAATGACGAGAAATTTTTAAATATAGTTCTATAAAATAAAAAAATAAAAAATAAAAAACATGCGAGCTTCATACAACAATTTTGTTGCATAATTTTTTTTATACTCGGAGACTACGTTTCTTACTCGCTCTGCTTGCCAACCCCTATAATGGCTTCCCCTTCACAATTGTTAATTTCTTTTTAAGCGTAAATTTATAAATACAGGGTGTTTATAAAGTCCCGGACCTATTTTGATGTTTAATAACTCATAAAATAATAAAGATAGATTAAAATTATTAAGTCGATAGTCAATTTCACGCTAGGCAGCGGCAAGCATGTCGGCATCCACAGAGGCTATTGCTGTTGTAATTCTAGCTTTTAGGTCATCAATGCTCGACACGATCCTCTTGTAAACATTGTCCTTTATAAATCCCCAAAGAAAAAAGTTCGACGTGCGACGAAGGGGACACACGTGGAAGTTCATTGACAAGGGTCATGAAACTTTTTGAGTCTATCTAACCATTTATGTTTTTAATATGAATCTATCTTTATTATTTTATGAGTTATTAAACATCAAAATTGGCCCGGAGCTTTATAAACACTCTGTATTTACACCCATATTACTGAACATTATGGCTTAAAAATATACTATTTGTTAATATAATCTAAAGTTACCTTTCACGTCACTACATGTAAATGATTCAAAAGTCTATTATTAAACGCCACTTTGTTTCAGTGCTTTCGTGGTGCGGCTTTTAAATTGTTGGCAAAATTACCAATAATTCAAAAAAGTTTTATTTTTTGATAGTATACCACTGCATTAAATGCTTTGCGAAAGCAGAGAAGGGCATTTGTCATTCAGAATAATGAGTAAAGAATGATGAATAATTATTCAATATCTGAATAATGAATGATGAATAAAGATTTATTCATTAGTCAGAAATATTTTGAATAAAGAATAAATCATTCATTATTCGTTATTCAGTATCCTTTATTCATAAGTCAAGAATAACTCAATAATTTCACTGGTCAACAAAAATGGGCACGGAATACTCTAATTGACTACGATTATGACAACTACAAATAAAACGTTCCTTTTCAAGTATATTTATATAATGTTTGAGAAAATTTACTTTTGTCTAACATAATGCATACTTTTGAGAAATGGTTACATGGCAAAATAGCGATTAATTTTTTAAGTTAAAATTTTATTTAAAAATTTAAAATAGTATTATCGTTTGTTTTCAAAAACTATAAAAAATTGCGTTTTGTAGATTTTAGAACAAAATTTTAAAATGAACTTAAGTAACTAAACTGTTATAAACCTACTTTTTAGCACAACTAAGTATGTTACGCTGGAGTAAGTTAAAATAGCATAAAAATAAATAGTCATTCTTAGTCTTAGTTTTATAGTTTATCTCCTAAAATGAGACGTTTAAGAGCAACGATGTTTGGCATCTCGTTATAGACAAAGACATATAGATTGCATTTTTTGCTGGTTATTCAAAATTTTATTCAGAAAAATTAGTCATGACTAATGAGTTTATTCATCAATCATTATTCAAAAATTTTTATACATTTGCGTAATGAATGATGAATAATGACTAAAATTTCATATGAATAATCATTCAGAATAAATTTATTCTGAATAAATTTAGTCATGAATAAAATTTTCGTGAATGATGCCCATCACTGGTTGAAAGCCCTGTTGACACATTGAACGCTAAAACACAAGGATTTAAAAGCATTTTAATAAGCGGCTGATTTAATAAGGATAGCTGATAAGAATTCATTATACCACACCTTCAACGACGCTTTTTTAAGTCGGTCTTAATTAAAAATTATTAAATTTTTTTCATCTTAATTAAATTTTATCTGGCAGACATATAATTCCCAGTTTAAAAGAGTCATAGAGAAGTGTTTTATTTAAGTATAATTAAATTTTATCTGCGCTCTTCAATTTTCATTTGCAGGTCTCTCACTTATTTAAGTAACTGAGAACTCAGCTCATTAGCTTGCATGACAACTTTGCCTTTATCGATATTTCTTCACAAAAACGAATATTTTTTGTTAATTAAGTATTAAAATAAGCAATTAAAATTTTATTAAATAAATATATTTATAAAGAGGAAAAACATTTCGTCAATAAAAATTTTGTGTTATGTATAAATGTAATCTAGGTAAAATAATATTAAATTCTTTTTTTAAAAAAACAACTTTTCTATGGTTTTGCACGAAAAAATAAAATATCAAGAGTAACTTATAAGAAATGATTTAATGTAGTCTCAGTTGATTTTCTAGATATTTTGCAAATTTTATGTAAAATTTTTATCTTTTATGCAATAATAAACATGTAATAACTTCTTATAAACTTTAAAAGAAAAAAAAACAGGTAGAAAGTCGGTTGTTTCCGAATAGCGATAATAACGTCTTGTGGCGTAACTACCACTACAAAAGTTTAACATCATTCACTAGTATATAAAGCATGCTAACTTGATTCTATTATGAGGTACCTTTTGATAGATGACGGTCGGTATTGTCGATTAACTCCGCACCACAGATTGGTGACCTTAAAATAATGCAACCTTCTAAATCTTACAACATCGGCAATCATCTTATGCCGTAAGCTTAAATATTTTAAAACTTAAAATGCTTAACTAAAATAAGACATTAACTTTTCTTTTTCTTGTCAAAGTTCAACCTGAGTTGTCACGGGGTAACATGGTATGTTATTTTTTTAGCTTTATTTATTGATCTTGCGATGTGTCATATTTCAAAATTTCTTTTCCGTATTAATGTATTCTGAATTTAATTTTGAATTTTTCTTTGCGCATGCGCACTTATGCATTTTCCAAACGTAATTCCTTAATTGAGTGATTGTAAATCATTGTATTCATTTAACTTCAATTTCATTTTAAATTGTCATTCTATTTTTTTAATAAGTGATTAGATTCTTAATACGCTATGACTGAACTTGAAAATCAGTCAGTCGCTCATGTTGCCGTCAAGGCGCCACCCTTTTGGAAAAATAATCCAGCGCTATGGTTCGTCCGTTTGGAGGCGCAATTCGATTTGGCTAAAATAACAGCTGATATAACCAAATTTAACCATGTGCTTTCTGCTGTTGAATCGGACATTTTAAATTATGTTAGTGATTTAGTGTTAAAGCCCCCTGAGAATGATAAATATGAAGCACTTAAAAAACGTTTAGTAGAGTTACACTCTGAAAGCGAAGCATCTAAAATAAGAACTTTACTCCAAGGTTTAGAGTTAGGGGACCAACGACCATCCCAGCTTTTAACGAGAATGCGTTCACTCGCAGGTGACAACGTAGGCGATACTCTTTTAAAATCATTGTGGCTTGGTCGGCTACCTAATGGGACACAAACAATTTTGGCCGCTCTCAGCGAAGATTTAGATCAGTTAGCCACTGTGGCAGACAAGATTAATGATCTCTCTATTCATCAGGGAGTTAATTCTGTCGCCGCTACTTCTAATTCCCACACCTCTCGATTAGAACAACAAGTTGCTCAATTGACACAGCAAGTTAATGAGTTAACTGCTTTTGTCAAAAGATCGCGTAGCCCAGCTCCAAATCATTTTCGAAAACGTAGCAGCTCTAGAACCCGTTTTAAAAAATTTAAAGATCCTGCTAATGGCAAATGCTTTTATCACACTAACTTTGGCAAAAATGCCAAAAAGTGTACTCAGCCATGTAATTTTTCAACAAACTAGTTAGGCGATCGTGTGATGGCCACACAGGCGACCGCCTCATAAATCGAATTCTCTTGGCCGATCCTTCTTCTAAATTTAAATTTCTCATCGATACTGGTGCAGACGTCAGCGTTTTGCCAAAAAGCAAAACAACCCTTCCTACTACTCGCGAAACATTGACATTGTATGCTGCCAACGGCACAGTCATAAAAACTTTTGGCACTAAATTGTTAAAATTAGACTTAAATTTGCGCCGCAATTTTACATGGCAGTTCATCATTGCTGACGTCAATCAGCCTATTATAGGTGCTGATTTTCTAAAAAAATTTAATCTATTGGTTGATGTTAAAAATAATTGTTTGATTGATGCCGAAACAAAATTGTCTTCTCGTGGACATTTGCCTTCGGATTCTCCACTTTTCACCAATATTTCAATTCTTTTGGGAGATTCAAAATTCGACGATATCTTGCGCCAGTATCCAGAGTTAATTAACCCATCGCAAAACAATAATGTTGACCTCCCAAACAAAACATATCATCACATTGAGACCAAAGGCCCGCCAGTTTTCTCGAAACCTCGTCGTCTGGCACCTAACATTTTAAACGCGGTCCGGAAAGAGTTCGAATACCTGATTTCGCAAGGTATTCTTCGGCCGTCGAAAAGTCCTTGGGCTAGTCCTCTTCATGTTGTAAGGAAATCAAACGGTGATTATCGACCATGCGGCGATTACCGTCGTCTAAATTCGATCACTGTTCCTGATCGCTACCCTGTCCCTCACATCCAGGACTGCACCCAAAATCATTTTGGAAAAAAGGTATTCTCAACCCTAGACCTTGCCCGAGCTTATCACCAAATTGCAATCTATCCCCCAGATATACCCAAAACAGCTGTAACGACACCTTTTGGCCTCTTTGAATATACAGCAATGCCGTTCGGACTCCGGAACGCAGGTCAGACGTTTCAAAGATTCATACATCAAGTATTAACTCCGCCCCCCACAGTCTAATAAACTACCGACTTTTCAGTTGCTTTCTCTAAAAAGTTCATAAGAAAGTCTAGTGACACATTGTAAGATAAAATTTAGATAAAATAAACATAAATCTGGAAAAATAACTATAACTGCATCAACTTTCTTCTTATAAGTTACATCCAATATTTTATTTGTTATCTTTTTGCGCCAAAACATTAAAAAGTTTTTTTTTCTTTTTAAATTTAAACTACAGGGTTGTCAAAAGGAATACAGCGATTACAAACAGCTGTAACTGTTTAATGAAAAATAATTTATCAATAAGATTAACATAGAATGTAGATGGAACTCTAAAATTTCTTTACGTGCGCAGGCCCAGTGAAGCGGAATGAGCGAGTTCAATAGTGAAAATGGCATGTCCCGTGCAGAACGCATTCTGCGTGTTGGAATTTAACGATTAACGACGAACAGTGCAGAGAAGATTTCGTCAGCGTTACAATCAAGAACCTCCAAATTGGAACGATATACGCAAATGGCATAGGATGTTTGAAGAAACGGGATGCTTGTGCAAAGGGGAAAAAGCAGCGGAAGGTCACGTGTTTCCGCGGAAAACGCTGAAAGAATTAGACGCACGTATGAACGAAGCCCACGAAAATTGACGTACGAAGGCAGTAGGGAGTTGCAAATGCCACAAACAACAGTATGGCGTGTTCTCAGACGTAGACTGCAATTGAAACCGCACAAAATTCAACTTGTGCAGCAATTGAAACAGGAAGACTATGTTAAACATATGAATTACGCTACATTTATATTGGAAAGTATGGAGGATGAAACATGAAACAATGGCTGATCGTCTCCTTTTTTAGCGATTAAGCAACCTTTCACATAAGTGGAGAGGTTAACCGACAAAAGAGTCGAATATGGGAGACGGAGAAGCCTTTCACTGTTATCTATTCATTCATAATAATAAACGCTGCTGTGTGTGTGTCTGTAATCACAATATATCGCCCCAGAAGCCTCGCCCAGGCACGAAACTCGGCACATAATTGTGTTTTGACATAATGAAGAAGTATTTTTTTTCTTACTCAAAAATTTGGATTAGTTTTTTAGTTATCAGTCATTTTGTAAGAAAATCTATGCTTTTTCGTCTTCAAAGAGCCATATTCAAAAAACTATTAAAAAATGCATATACTTTTCTCCACTCTTATAAATGCATGCTAATGCGAACCTTACAATTGAAATATTAAATTTCGACAACTTAAACCAATAATATACGAAGGAATTAATAATTTAATTGTAAGGTTCGCCTTAGTTTACATTTATCAAAGTGGAGAAAATTTTAACTTTGGTGTTAAAAATGTGGCAACATATTCGATACGTAAATAGAACTCTTCGCTTTGATATATTTGTCGCTGTTCAAAATTGTTATAATGAGTTTTTCTTCTTCTTTCCACGCTCTATTTTTTTTTCTTCTTAAGCGAAGACGATAATTTTTGTAGCGATATAGAAATAGAAATTGATATTATAAAAAATTATATAGAAATAGAAATTGATTAATTCGTTTTCGTGTTCTTTTCATGTATTTAGCATTTTAGTTTTTTTTTTCTTGCACGTTGTAGCTATATAATATATAAGATAGGAATTTAATTGTTTTTGAAGGAACGATCACACTTACCTTGGATCTCTTTGGTTTTTCTATTCTTTATTTTAACAGTTTTTATTAAATGTAATTAGTTATTTTCAGAAAGTTTCAGTTTGCAGGTAAGCACTTAGATTTTAACCCATTAACGCCCAAATTAATTCTACTTAATATATTTCAATGAATCTTTCAAATCCTATTTATTATGACCTAAATAGAGTATAAACCTTAAAATTTGTGCATATTTTGCATCAATTTTAAAATTACAGCTCGTCCTCATTTGAGGATACTGGGCATTCTAGAGAGAAAATGATTTTTCTTGATATAACATGCAAATATTGTAGTTAGTTCTCATTTTAAAAGTCTATTAATTTTTTTTTGGTACAGAATAAGTATAAATTGTAGTATTACTGAAATCTAAATCAAATATTAGACTTCTGATAATGTTTGTGAACATTATTATTATTATTTTTTAATTTTGGAATTACAAAAAAGGAACAAAATGAAAAGAGCCAATTTCAGTAAATAAATAATACCACGTAATTTCACTTTATGTATATTTATTTAGTAGAGCATTTTTAAACTACTTAAGTACATATATTGCTGTTGTTGTCCATTTACGTCGCACTAGAGCTGCACAATGGGGTATTGGCGACGGTCTGGGAAACATCCCTGAGGATGATCCGAAGACATGCCATCACAATTTTGATCCTCTGCGGAGGGGACCGCACCCCCGCTTCAGTAGCCCGACGACCTGCACGCGAAGTCGCGCACTTTACGGTAGAACAGTTTAACGAGGACCAATACCGCACACCCTCGGTCCCTACGCAGACTGATCCAAGTAGGTCACCCACCCGCACACTGACCGCAGCCAGTCATGCTTGACTTCGGTGATCTGATGGGAACTGTGTCTTAACGATCAGTCCACTGCGGGACTCTACTTAATTATATAAAATAATTAAAAATACGTAAAATATTCAGTGCATGAAAGCATATTAACTATGCACTGAAGTATTGAAACCATATTTAATCGGAGAACAAGCTTGTATCATGATTTTTAGTATGTAAAAACTTACATATTTCTTCTTTCGAATCCCAGAATTGTTTGAGAACCTTGGGGCAAAGATAACCAACTTACCTCGCTGTAGTAGGATAAACCCGAATATGTACCATATAATTGATAGCTTAATGTGAAACGGACTCCATTTCAGCCAATTAGAATTTTACATTTTCGCGCACACAATTTAAAATGATCCGTATAGTTTAGATATAAAGTATATTATAATTTTATATGCTGGCTTCGTTTCTAATTCACATTTCCATATTATTTTTACTTTGCTTCGGATATATTGACTGGGCCACAAAAATGTTCATCTCGGGCCGCGAGTTTGACACCCCTGCTCTAAGCTATTGCGGCTCAAATTCATTTCTTGCCTATTAAAAATTGAACCATTTACTATGATGCCAGTTGTCCGAATTACCAAAATTAAATAAGCATTATTGGCTCTAATAATATATGATGATTTATTTATTTATGGTTCCATTTTAGTTCATAACTTACTTTTTGTATTGCAGTTGATTTGGAATGATTTGGCTCTATAGGAACACGATTTTAAATGACAATTATAAACAAAATAAACACGTGATTTCAGATTATAATTTTCGAAATTCTAATTTAATGTCGGAGCACCAATACGCATGACATTCATGTTAATGTCTGAGATTGTAAAAAATAATTAAGCTTCATATGCACTAAAATCTAAATAGAATTTTATTCATACAATGTTAAAATTTTTTCTAGAAAAATGGTTGAATAGCTAAAAAGTGTTGCAGGATGATTTTTATCTTGATAAATGATACCGCGCAAATGGAATGCTTAAATATTTAAGGCGATGAAAAATAGTCTTTAATTAGTTTTTAATATGTGTTTCGACTCCTTGACATGCGTCTAGCATTATTTATTCTAAATACTTTCAAAAATTCCAAATAGAGCCATGATGGCTCAGAAGATAGAGCTCTCGCCTCCCAATGAGGTGATCCGGGTTCAATCCCAGCTATAACTGATCGATTTGGATTCCGCACCCGGCTCGCACCGACTACAGTGCAGTCGTAAAATATCTTCAATGGTGGACGGATCATGGGTTAGCATTGCCATCAAGCTAAACTTGGGAGGTTTTCCTCTTCATGTAACGCAAATGTGGTTTAGCTTCATCGAAAAGTCCTCCACGAAGACAAAATTTCGCCCAATACTTGATCCAGAAGTTACCTTGTCTTCTGGATTGGGCTCAAATTTACAAAGCTACGCAGTTGAACACTGGTAGTCGTAAACCCAAAATTGGGTCGGCTGTTCAAAGACGATTATAAAATAAAAAAATTAGTATCATGAGTTGACCCCAATAAGCAACAGCCATGTT